ATTTTCCTTCATTAAAATATAATATAAGTACAGATGATTTAATTACTTCTTATATGTTGTATGCATAACTATATTTTAAAGTTTGTTTGTCTTTAATTTTATACTAAAAATAATAATTTTTTATAAATGTATTATAAAGTGTGTACATAATCAATTCAACTAATTTTTACATCTTATATGATGTCATAGTTTAAAGTTTGTTTATCTTTAATTTTATACTAAAAATAATAATTTTTAATAAATATATTATATAGTATGTTGATCAAGAAAGTGTATTAATCAATGTCCTTATCAAATACTTGACAATTAACCTAGTAGATGTCGACTAACTTGCAGATACATACTTATGTAATTGGTTTAGAAAAAGAAAAGGTCTAGTATGAGATTTTATTATTACATATGTTATGTGTTTGGTTTAAGATTTATTATTTATACGAGTTATTATTGCTACATATGTCATTTATTTAACTTATAGGCTGTACTTAACTTTTATTTCTATTTTTGTATTTTAGTATTTTTATTTTTCAAAATTATTACTATTATATAAATATAAAATACAATAAATACATGCAAATTTTCAATTATATAAGTAAAAGTAATATCATAGTTAAATAATTCAATTAAATAATTCCACATCTCTATATTTGTTACTTGATTTAATACTTACGAGTATACTATTTTTATACTCATTACTTACCCTCTTTTTTTCTACAATTTGGGTATGATACTTACCTAAGTAGGTAAAATATTTGTAAATAGCGGATGTATCTGTATCCAATACTCACCCCTAATGATAATATAGAACTTCCTATGAGGGGATACCCAATCAAAATTCTAATAAGATTATATCTTATCAAAAGGCTAATTCAAACATCCTCTGTAACATACAATTCAAATTATAAAATACATCTTTTATTCAAAAAATATTGTAAAATACATTTTCGTTGCCCGAATTAGTTACTACCAGCAAATCACACTGTTTATAAGAACAAACAAGATTCAAACAATACCATTTCTTCTATTTATAAACTCAATTGAGCTACTCTCTCCAAAAAAAAAAAAATGAAAAACCTCGATTGGACTTAAAAAAATAATCAAAGTCGTGGATTTTGGGTTTGGGTACGGATATACTCATAATTATAAATATTTATCTATTTAGATAAATATTATACCTTACTAGTAAAGAAAAAAAAAAGACAAGTAATTGATATAAAAGCAATATACTCATAAGTATCAAGTTAAGCAATAAATATTGGAGCAACTAATGACTTGTTGATCCGAGTGGAAGGAGTTCAGTTCCCCTTAAATAAGGTCTCAAGTTCAAGTCTTATGAATGGAAAAATAAGCGCTGGGAGAGTTTCCCCCATATGGGGGTCCAACACAGTTTGATTGTGAATTAATCGGAAACAAATATGGCTTTCGAATACCGAAAGGTTAATACCAAAAATAAATAAATAAATATTGGAGTTTAGAACTGTTTACTCAACCTATTTAACAAAGTTGTTTAACTGACATGTTACCTATACTTATCAACCAAACAACACACTATATTATCAAATTTGCAAAAATTCTAACAAATTTACTATCTTCTTCCTTTTTCCTTCTTCCTCTTTTTTTTTTTTCTCTCTCCATCTAGAGAACCCAAATCTGGGTTCTCCTTGAGGACCTAATCTAGGTTCTCCAAGTTGGGTTCTCCTAGAGAATTGAGAACCCAAATCGGGTTCTCCTTTTGAGAACTTGATTTGGGTTCTCCAGGAGAAGTTAATTTGGGTTCTCCAGGAGAACTCAAAAGGAAAAGGAGAACCCAATCTGGGTTCTCGATTCTCCACACCTGAGTTCTCCTCAACAAATCAAGGAGGAGGGAAAAAGAAGGAAGAAGAGGGGAGGAGAGGGAAAGAAGAAGAAAAGGAAAGGAAAAGGAGGGGAAAGAAGGAAGAAGGTTGAAAATCAAAGAACCAATGCTGGGTGAAGAGGAGAGCTGTTGGGTTAACGAAAGAAACGGAGAGAAATGAAGACAAAGTGAGTGTGTGACGGAGGGTGTAACAGGAGAGCGTTTATATATAATTTCTCTTCATTAAAATATAATATAAATACAAATGATTTAATTAATTTTTATATGTTATATGCATAACTATATTTTAAAGTTTGTTTATCTTTAATTTTATACTAAAAATAATAATAATAAAGAGAATTTTTCCCCTCCTTTCCCCTCTAAGTTTTTTAATAACCAAATAAAAGAACCTTTTTCCCTCCCCTCCCCCCCCCCCCTTTGAATATTTTTCTCCTCCACTTCTCTCAATCTAAACATATTATAAGGGCTGTCTCTTATTCACATCTTTCCTATGGGGGGTTACCCAATCAAAATTCTAATAAGATTATATATTATCAAAAGGCTAATTCAAACATCCTCTGTAACATACAATTCAAATTATAAAATACATCTTTTACTCAAAAAAATATTGTAAAATACATTTTACTTGCCCGAATTAGTTATTACCAGCAAATCACACTGTTTATAAGAACAAACAAGATTCAAACAATACCATTTCTTCTATTTATAAACTCAATTGAGCTACTC